TGAGTGGAGGCACTAGGTGGCACCAGCCTGGCTATGAATTTGGAGTCAGGCTCTAAAATAACAAAATTAAAACACCAGGATCATGTGCAGGAGATCAATACAAACATTTTAAGACCAAAATGACAATACTCACTGCAGCAATTACAGAAAGAGGGGGCAAAATATTCTAATGTAAATCAATGGGAGCCAGGATCAGAATGAGCATGCAAACTTCTTATTTGGGACATCGCAGTTAACACTATATCCTTTTATATGTACAGTCTATGGTTTACCTTTTGTTCAGTAGAGATTGGCAAAACTCCAGATATGTTTTTGATGAAGAAACAATATTATAACATAGATCAGAAAATAGTGTAATGCGGGCCCTTATATTATTTATATGTACATATTATTGGACTATGAACGTTACTCTGGAACCCAGTAATTTCGGGCTTAAGGGGAGGATATCTGTGCAAATGATACATTACTGACAAATAATGTAGGAATTGCTTTAGATTTTTAAGATCAGTGCACATTGAAAAAATTAACATAAACAAAGACTAAAATCAAAACTACAAAACTAATACTAAATGAAAAATGTAAAGTCTGCCTGGTGCTGTATCTGATTTTGACTGCCCTAAAAACGTGAAAAGGAAAACTAGTTCATTTTAAATGTTTTTCAGCAATCCAAACTTTCCTCACTTTCCTAACACTTTCCTAATGTCTTAATTATTCACCGTGAGGAATTTATAAGTGCTTTTCACAACTTTTCGTAGCCAGAGCGGAGCCTCGCTAACAACAACAAGCATGTTAATAGCACATCACACAGTACTTCATGGTTCATGGCAGACAGCACAGTGTGATCTCAATTTGACCCTAAAAACATGACTCTGAAAACATGAAACACTGTGGAATTCTACCTCTATAGCAGAAAATTTATGTTGTGATAACCTGGCTATAGTGAAATCAGTTTTTGCTGCATGTTAGGGCTGTAGTCGACTAAAGAAATTCTTGATCAACTTAAGGCATGTCCTGTCAGTCGTATAAAAAGGGGGCATGACAAAAGCTCTAAAAAATATGATGTGTCTCTATGTCTATCTGACCCAAACTCAGAAGACTACATCTTCATGGGAGTTTATGAAAAAAAAATACCAAATCAGTTAATTCATTCACTTCTCCTTTCTGCCTTTGTCCCATCTAAATGCTTTTAAACTAAATAAAATGATTTGTCAACTATTACAGATGTTTATTACAGATGGAGATGTTATTTCATTACACTGAATGTTTCACAATATGGCTTTAAACTTATCTACCCTGAATGGATCAAATGGCAAATGTTTTAAATCTCAAAAATGGAAAAACATGAAGTCTTACTACTATGTGCAGGCTTGCTTCTCCATAGATCTGCCGGTTAATCTGTCCAGATCTGGCCCTCCAAGACCTTTAATCTGGCCCTCGGCTGATTTTCTACTAAAATATTTTAATTATATATTTTTTATTAAAATATTGTTAATTTTCTGTGGTGTTTATCATAGCAGTGTCTCCAGCGTCTCTGTACGTGGCCCCTCCCACCAGAGCAGCACAAATGAAGACTTGTCTCTTTCCAAACGCTCTTAAAGGACGATCGTTTTGACTGTTGACCGTGACACCCTCATCAGCAAAATGTCCAAAATGAGAAAAGTGGAGCCGAGTGCAGGATTTTCCAAGAAAAATTTACTTATTCCTATTTATACAAGTTAATGTAAAACAAGTTTATGTTAAAACATTGTGTTGAAATTGAATTTTCATAAAGTTTCAGGTTGTTCATAATATAATATTTTGTAAAAGAAAGAGTTTATCAATTAAAAAAATAATAGATTTGTGTTTCTCTGCACAAATATTTGAACTTATTGTTATTTTTGGGGTTTATATGACATGAGTTTTCTGATCCGGCCCCTTTGGGATCAAAGTAGGTTGGATACGGCCCTCAGACCAAAATGAGTTTGACACCCCTGACCTAGAGTCACTACCTATCCGCCTGGCATCCATACCCAATCGAATTCCACACACTTTTGCGACACAGTATGCGTGCAGATTTCGCTCGTCTTAATGTGGAATAAAAAGTGAAGGCGTGACGCCACTTTTCAGACCATCATCATATAAACGTAGCCTTAATTTCCATAATGTAGAACAGACCTGAGCATTGTCCAGCTCCTGGGCCACACACGGACCTTTGGTTGACTCTGACCGACCTGTTTAAACTCATTTGGAATTACTAAATAAACATAATTTTAGTCCATATGCATAGACCAAAGTGGCATTGCTTTTATTTTGGAGGTGTTTTTTTTTTTTTTTGTAAATTAAATTTTTTCTAAAGCAACATCACTTTTTCATTGCTTAGTCATAACATGAACTCTTACCAGTCTGACCAGCTTCTCAAAACAATGCTATTTACTATAATACAATATAATACAATTAATATTATGCAGAATTGAGTCAAGCCTTTTGGCCCGGCCCTCCACAGTACTTTCTGTTTCTCATGTGGCCCCATGGAAAGAATAATTGCCCACTCCTAATGTAGAATATTCAATTACAACTCTGAGGAGACAAGAAGGTGATGAACCCTCCACCAGAAAAGTTACACCTTTAAATACCGGATGATAAAGGCCCACAGCCCTACAAGTGTTTGACCAAAATCTTAGGCTGCTGAATAATGCACCACAGATACTTAACTTGCATAATTTACTACTGTCTGCATAATTAATCTATAATCATTTGTAATTCTCCTTCAAAGAACCGTGTTCAGGTAAAGCATTTTCACAATTTGCATGAAGAGTCACAGGTGAAATTGAGAGCAGGGCCTTGGCTCTGGCATCCCATTCAAACATCACAGAGGTTTATGAGCAGCACTATGTGAGCAATTATCAGATTGAGTCAGATTGACACACAGACAATATGAAGCGTGGCTCTGATGGGACACAAGTGGGACAGGAGCCATGGGGATCAAATCCTCTATTGTTCCAAGGCCTGGCTCTCCTCGTGCTGTCCATCTCACAGCCTCAGCCCTCACTCGTACTATAAGAGATGATGAGACAGCAAAGAATCCAATAAAACACAGACAAAATCTAATATTTGTCACCATTTTGTAATAACTGCATTGCAATTTTTCTGATAAGTATTGCGATTGCGATGTGTTTAAAAGATTCTGTTCTGAGCGCACATTATAAACATTATAAACAGCATTAAAGGTCCTATATTATGCAAAACTGACTCCTATGAGCTTTAAATGTTAGATGTTAAACTGTTGTAGCCAGGCTGGTGACACCTAGTGCTTCTGCTCAATTTAATTTCTCTCCAGTGACTAGATCAGGAATCAGTATACGCTAGACAGTTTACAAGAACCCCTCAAGTGTGAGTTCGGGCACCAGCCAATCAACGAAGAGCCAAATATTCTGTGTTGGCAATGATTCCCGAGATCGAGGATTTAAAGTCAGAACAAAGAGAATGTTTGGTGAATTTTATCAAGGGGAAAGACGTTATTGCCCTTCTTCCTACAGGATTTGGTTGGAAAAATTACATACGTCAAGACCAAATAGCAGCGATTGGTTAAATAAAAACACGGGTACCATCGAGTGAACGAATCCTAATACTGCGAGGTCAGACGGTTTCCACAAAGTGAAACCGGCTGATGAATCAGGCTAAAAATGTTGTAACCTCATCAAAACATACTGGAGTTGTTTCATTCACACATGTTTGAGTAACACTTTATTATTAGTCTCTCTACATCTCCAAAGCTCAAAGTACTATGTTCCACCTTGGGATATCAGATGAAGAGGTAGTTTTCAATTTAAGAGCTGCCTTTTATTTTTTGTTTAGTAGAGATTGGTAATCCCAGGATTGAATTTATCCAATTGATTCTAGTGAAGGTGTATGGAGTTTAAAAACACAGTGTAGCGCTTCCTGTTTGTGTCCTGTTATAAAGTGATAAGAACTCAGCCTAAATATGTAAGATTTCTGTGTTAAACATGTGTGAATGAAACAAAACACAACTCTGGGAATGTTTTTGATGAGGAAACAACATGACATGACAAGAAAACAGATCAGAAAACAGCGTAATATGGGCCCTTTAACAATAAAAATGAACTGACAAACTAAAACTACAATCTACTTTGTGTAGAGGTCTAAACTACAGGTGAAAACAGAAAGAATATTTTGTTCTTTGCAGAGGACTTTCTATTATCTATAAATTGTAGCTTTTACATTAACTGCAGCATCAGTGGAGAGAGATTTGAGCTGGTTTGTTAAATAAACATTAGCTACCCCACTGTCTGGAAAAAGACTGAAAGAAAGCAAATGATGTCGACTAATATACCAGAGATTGAAATCGTTTCTTAATTGGACATTGAGTTTCTGCTGTGCACTTCTGTAAAACAATATATTTAGACATTTATAATCAAATTCTTGTCATGTTGTAAAATCTAAGTCCTGGTTAAAATCGATTTCTTTGAGCCACTCCTGACCACCACCCGAGGTTAGTGTTGTTCAAATAACACTTTTGTTAGACTTAACTAATCTCCACATCTCCTCTCGTCCAATCTTCCCGAGACACTTAATCTTATGCAAACATGGGGCCCAGGGCGCTGCTCCCTCCTCCTGATCTAGAGCCCTTTCAGAAGACATGGTACCTTTATAGTGGCCTTTAAATACACACTCCTCCCTCCGGCTCCGTCATGCCCCAAAGGACTCTCCATCCTCATTTTAACCTTTTATATGCTTCTTTCCTCTTCCCATTATTCTAACCATCTTTTCGACAGCAGTAATTGTTTCGTTCTCTATATTCTCTCTTTTGCGGCCCACCTCTGTGCCTGTGGTCTGATTGGAGGTTCCTCTCAGGTTTGCTCTAAGTGTGTCATTACCCCTGAATGAGCCCAGCACACTGAGCATCCTTTCAGCTTTCATGCTTAAATATGATGGGCCTTTTATTTGCTAAAGTGGCTTGTCTGTGTATTCATCAGGATAAACCAGAGCTATCAGAGCTGTACCTGAAATCGCTGTATGGGTGAATGATCCAGGAGCCTGCAGACTTGAGTCTCTCCTGCTCCATTGCCACGGCCTTGTGGGAGCCAAACATTCGCAGGCTGAATTTGTTGACCCCGGGCAGCAGCATGGCTCCAAACTGCCTCTGAATGAAGGTGCTCTGGTTGGAGTTGCTGTAGTCCTCTCCGTCCAGGCCCATGCCAAAGCCCGGGAACCCCAGCCCAGACGGGCCCATCGTCTCTGGGGTTCCCACCGTGGTGTTGCAGGCTGTGGTAGTGGTGGTCTCTGGGCCGGTGGCCACCACCATGACCCCTGTCCCGGTGGAGGAGGTGGAGGCCAGGGCAGCTCTGGAGGCAAATCCCACAGATCGAGGAGGGGGGTGTGAGGAGGAGGGAGGTGGGGGCAGGGGCGCTGGGTGGTGGGGGGTACCTGCTGAGCGGAAAGCCAATCCATCTCTTGTAGAGGAGCTCATGATTGACAAGCGCCGCCCGCGCCCGCCTGAAGAGGTGCTGTCCTTGTCCCCCTCGAGAGAGGCCTGGGACAGGCGGTAGCCTGGGGAGGGCAGGCTGCCCTTACTGCGCCGCTTTGACTCCCCATTTTTCCGAGGGAGGGTGTCCCCTGTGGACCCTGCTGCGCTGACAGGGGTGGCCACTCCTCCAACTACCCCATCCATGGCGAGGCAGAGGGCTGTGCGTGACCCTAACCAGGGACGCTATCGTCTTGATCTAGACCACATCAGAGAGAACGTGCAGTAGAAGCAGCTAGAGAAACGTGACCTTTGAGTGCCTGAGCCCCACAGCCCTCTCCACAGTCCCCTGTCATCCTCACCTCACGCCCGTGGGTCTCGCCTCTCCATGAAGTCTTTAGTGCCGCTGTGATGCCTTCACGTGTCTCTTTTGCTCAAAGTGTGTGGTTTGTCCTTACAGATGTTCCCGTGGCGTTCCTCCTTCCTCGTCCTTGAAACGCTGCTCTCCAGCCGAGGCCCTCCCTCCGCGCTTTGCCGCTCATCGTGAACCCAGAGCCGGTTTATGTCTCTGTGGCTCCGGTGTTGAGCCGGGTCTAGACCGGGCTCACCCGGCGCGGTCTGACATTATGTAACGAGACAATGACAAGGACACTTGATCCGCTGTCGGGATGGAGGCTCATTAACGGACATAAAGGACGCACATAAAGGGCGCACGCGAGCGCTCGCACTTCCCGGTGTTCTGATTCATGACACGCACAACCCGAAACACGCACAATGGAAAGAGCCGAGCCTCGACCTAACCCATGTTTAACCAATCCACGGCACACTGCGCGCCATCAGCAGAGGGAAAGACGCTCCTCCTGAGTCACAGTGGGAGAAATAAAGATCCAGCGGTGCCTCGTGAACAGGTGCACACAAAACCAAGTTGGTGATGGAGCTGCGCGCGCGGATCTATCCCTTTCTGATTCCGCCTCTTCAATGACAGCGTAGCCTGTGCGCTGTCCTCGGGACGTGTCCTTCGCGCACGCGGGGTGCAGAGGACAGAGTCACGCCGCGTGTCAGTCTGTGGACACGGAGCTGCGCTCGGCTCTATCTCAGATCAAACTACTTGTTGAGCGTAAAGAGCGTAAAGAGGAGGCGGCTCCTCGGCACATCCTTCAGTGAGTTGTGTCCCGCTGTGCGGCTCAGAGCGGCGCTGTGACGGGCGCGGGCTCCTGGAGGTCAGGCGTACAGGACACGTTCACAGATGCGCGTGCATGCAAATGCATCATAAATAAATACACATATTTAAGATCAGGGTCTAGTCGGCCTGTTGCCATGGCATCCGCATCCTCATCGTCTGTCCCTTAAAGGCGCGTGCTCACCGGTGAGAGACACGCGCCTCCTGAGCCGCGTCATCCTCACGAGCGCGTCACTGGGGCAATAACGACAATACGGGGCTCACACAATCAATAACCCAGGACCAGTCCGTTTAAGGAGGAGGAGTGGAACTTCAGTGAGAGTTAGAGATGGCTTCAAGGACATAACCCCTAAAATTAAGGCCACTCTAAACGCCGCTCTCTGCTGCAGTAGGCTGTGATGACTCAATCACTCTGTTATGAATTCAACAATAATCTGATGTTTTTAGATCTGCGGACTAATTTTTACTGTTTTGATTTATTCTTTAACGAGACCGTGCTGATGGACTGTGACACGTGACCCGATACTTTAGCTGTAGATCAGACATTATTGGTGATTATGACACATGAGAGTGTAAAGGGCTTGGACTGAGCGGAGGAGAGGAGAGGGCCTGTTATGTCACTACTGCATATGTGGAAAAGTCCATTGCACTGGACATATGTAATCAGTTTATAACGATACAGGAGGCTACGCATCAGCCTGGAAAAATAAACAAATAAATAATATATATATAAAGTGGAATTCAAAATATTATTTATATTTCTTGTTTTGAGTGTAAGTTTAGAGTGTAGATCAACCATTTCTCCTTGTTTTAGTGATTTGGACATTTTAATTTCAAGTGGACTTATTTTGAGTGGTACATTTTTTATTTTTACTTTAAGTGTATCCTAATAGTATGCATTATAGGCTGGGAATTGGCCAATATGGACACTAGTTTACTCAATTTATTGATCTTGAAAAAAGTACAAAACACCTTGAGGCAAGTATAAAATAATACCCATTATTATGACAAAATGAAGACAAAACTCACAACTATCCAAAACAAGATAAATACTTAATGAAATCAGTTCAATCAGGTCTATTGTTGCAGTTCAGAGGTTGTGGTTCAGAACAGGGCCTGTGGACATCTCATTGCAGGTTTGTAAATGACACAAGAATAACTGGCGTCTGAGTGATAAGAATGGAGCAGATAACACAAGATTCTTAAAGGAGCCAATTATAATCAGGTCCAACAATGGCACAGAGGCTGTATTCATATTCAATTAGATTGAAATAATAAAGACGACCTCTGCCCAAGTAATCACGCTCTAACTGGGATGGGTTTATTGGAAGAATTGCTGTACCAGAGCAAGAAATTCTCTGGAAAATTATCATCGTCATTGTCAAGGGGCATTGGATTGGGAAAAATGTGCAAAATCAGGCATTTCTTCCTCCTCCTCTAGAGAGAACGCTTTGATTATGACCTTGCACCAGCACTTTGACCACATTTTGAATTTTGGAAACCAGCGAAAACCACCAAGCAAGTAAGAGCAGTAAAGATGAGGAGAGGAGGATGCGTCAACTGGCTCGTTTCAATATATTAAAGCTCCACGTTGAAACCTTTTAGCCAAAAAAAGGCTAGAATAAAATCATTTTTAAAATGTTTTTGTCTTTTGTTTTTCTTGCACTAAAGAAATATGGGCTGGTCTGCTTTTGATTCATGGAAAAGTTCATGTTCATTAAGGTATAATATTCCACTTCTCAATGGTGTTAACTTTCTATTTCCATGGAATCGTGCAGGCAACATACCACCTCCAGAAAGTTACACAGCGCTGCTTTAATTCAAATTCCTGAATACATACAAACGTGTCAGAAATTAAAGTTTATTAAAACCTAAAAATAAGACCACCAATATCATGAAAAAGAGTTATGCCTAACCAATATACAGTAATAGTGACAGAGGATTTGTATACTATAAATTACATTTTATTGTTTTATTTTACAGTTGTTGCATTGAAAGAGGATTCCCAGATAGGACACCGGGATCCACAGATAACTTAACTGTACACCTAATAAAAAATAGACATAAACAGCAGGTGGAGTTCTCAATCAGGTTCTCATTCTGGGACATTGACCGATCTCATGATGTTTGTGTGTCCACTGCCCGGGATCCAGCCGGTCACCACGATCACCATGTCTCCAGGTTTGAAGAACCCTCTAGCCTTCCCTGTACACACATTTATTTTGTATTAATGCCCCTATAGCAATAAAATGCTGTTAGTTACATTTTTACATTTTTAGATCTATGGTGTAGGTCTTGGTTAAAGTAATATATGCGTTAGTTCAAGCTAATTATTTGAGGAGTTGAGTTATGTTGGCCTTTTCATAATTCTCTGGTAGAGTTTAGATACTCTTACTTTTCAAATCAACAATTTAACACTGATTGAGCTGTAAAGAATAGTTATTGCATATATATTTAGTTTATTGCAGAGCATTCACTGACCTATGTCCATGCCGAAGTTGACCCTGTTGTCCACATCGTCGGCCCACACCTGGAGCGGGCAGAGGGTGGAAGAGCACCGGGAACACCCCCCTCAACAGCTGAGACTGCCGGGCCACCTGAACACACGACAAGACAGACGCACACAAATATGATCAAGTATGAACAATGTGTGAGAGGTTAGTCCAAAATTCTGCAGGCACACTTCGTAGAGAACACATGACACCGATTTTATCCTCATTGCACTGGCTCCTCATTCATTTTAGAGTTGATTTTAAAATGTTATTGTTTGTTTTTAAAGCATTTCATGGACTGGCCCCAAAATTTATATTTCAGACCTCATTGTTCCTATACTTTTAACGAGAATGAGTCTTGTGTACTCCTTTATTGATTTTATTTGCTATTTTCCTATGTGCTAATTTTAGTATTTTGTTATTGTTATTTATGTTTTTTAATTGACTTGCTTATTTATTTATTTTATGCTTTATTTTAATTAATGTGTTAATTCATAGTGTGCAGCACTTTGTAGATTTTGAGGTAAAATGTGCAATATAAATGAAGCTGGATTGGATTGTTCAGGTTTGTTGACATAGGTCTATTAAAATTATCTTATAAGAAAAGATATAATAAAAGCTTTTATCATTATTTAAAGTGACAGGATGTAACTTTCTGGAGGTGTAAAGTCAACTGAGTGATTCAATGTAAATAGAAAGTTAAAACATTCAACATACGTTAGAACATTAGATAGAAACATTTCATGCCATATTTTGAAAGATTATAGCCAAAGAAACAACACTTCTTCCATTTATTCTTCCTTTTTCCAGGTCAATAAAGAGTCAGGTTTGTGGAGATGCAAGCCCACTCACAGTGTAGAGCACACAGTTTTTTGTATGTTTTTCAATGCAATAAAAATATCTATAATGAAAAAAGTTACATACTATAGATTTAATAATAAAACCTTCTGTCTGCATGTTGCCAAATGTGTTAGATACCTTCTGTACGCTTAATGTAGATATTGTAAACGTACAGTATAATGCAAAGAAGGGCTTTCATGAAATACTACAAACTCACAAACTGTTAAAGATGCATTATATTATCAATCTCCATGACGATAAGGATGCCACTAGACCCAATACTATAGCCTATTTTTAGCAATAAAAACGCCTCCAACTGGAAAAAAATTAAATATATACAAAATAAAAAAATAAACAGAAAGCTTTAGTGTCATATTCTGGAAAACAATAACCTCTTAATTAACCAAAAAAAAAACAAAAAACTTTTACAACATTATTTACACAGTGAACTTTTCTATCAGATGTTTATTCACACTTGGAGGGACACATTACAAGTCAATGATGTCCTTGGCAGAAACTTTTTAGCAATCAGTTCCACCAACCCCTCGCTTCCCCCGCCCGGGAGTAAAATCATGTTTTTTTAATACACAAATAACTGTCTTCAAACTTTAAAAAGGTGCTTGAGCTCTTCGGGGGACTGGACTGTTTTAACTGTCTCCATCTTGGACATGTCCCCAGTGTAGCACGTTTGCGCACATTTAAGCCATGAAAGTTTAATGACCATGGATTCCTCTCCAGAGAAGGAAGTGGCATTTATTGTGCTATTTTAATGAAATACATAACTATAAATACATCTCCCGAAACACCCAATGTGAACAGTATTATAATATAGTTCAGGGATTAAGTACAGTTATTTTATCTGTTTATTTTACACAGTTGGAGTTAATTTCTGCTTCACTTGCTTCATTGGACACTATACTGTACACAGGATAAATAATGCAAAAACATTCTTGAAATAACAGGACTGTCCTCAAGTGAGAAGACCTGGGCATCCATGTGTGAATGGAAAATATAGAGAGTCAGATGTAAGTATAGACTATATATATATATATATATATATATATATATGTATGACCTATTTTAGCCCAACTATTAATCGTATATTTGTTCTATATTAAAGGTGCACTATGCAACTTTTATGGTTTGGAGTCTGCAGGCGGTGGGACCAAGTTGTTGTTTTGCAAGTCTCAAGTCTTTGACCTCAAATCTGAGTCAAGTCCCACGTCAAAGACACGCAAGTTGAATCTCGAGTCACTGGCCCACAAGTCCAAGTCAAGTCCTAGTCATTTGCTTTGAGCTTCAAGTCTTTAAACCAGAGGTCCCAACCTTTTGCCTCTGATGAGCTAACTTTACAAAACAAAAATGTTGGAGAGCAACAAATTTCGATATAAGAACAAAAAGTTGATATAAGAGAGCAAGTCTTAGATGGTGTACAGTTAGATACCTATAAAACATAAAATTATTATCCATTTATTAGTGCACAAAGTTCAAAATAACACCTTTACAATGGTGCTGAATAACTCAAATTTGATTACCAGTAATTACAATATGTATAATTCAGATATTCCTTCGCGAGCTACTTGTGAAGTTGTAGAAATGTTAATTTTTCCTTTTTAAGTGCTTGACAAGAGTGTGAATTGTTACGGTCAAAACAGAAAGAATTAAGATTTAAGAGTGCTTAATAACACTTAATTTGTCAACTAGTCTAAGCACTAACTCTTCTCAAGTCACAGGGCTCAAGTCTGAGTCAAGTCCCAAGTCACTGACCTTCAAGTCCAAGTCGAGTCCCACGTCTTTGTCTGTTTTATCAAGTCAAGTGTCAAGTCCTAAAAATAGTGACTAAAGTCTGACTCGGGTCCAAATCATGACTTGATCTATAATTTGAAATCACCTGCTTTTCTCCATGGAGATAAATATAGATAAGTTTAATGCCATACAGTGTAAAATCCCATGAAAAACAATAACCTTCTCCATGAGAAAAGCAGCTGTTAGACCTTCCACCAGAAAAGTTACATAGTGCACCTTTAAGCAGAGGAACAAATAACTTAATGAGAGCCTGAAACATCCTAAAAATATCCAACACAAGTCATGAATAAATCTATAAATCTATAATTTAAGTCATTTTAGGTAATGAACTTTCTACCAATCATGTTACCAGTTTATAACATATTGTTTCCTTTACAGACCATTGTAACTTTGGTCCTATTTTGATTAAAATGTTGTTAACCTAAAAGATATTTGTTGAATAATGTTTGTGTATTCATTGGTCTTCAGCTTTCCATAATAAGCAGAAGAACAAATCAACCTGCAAGCGATAGAAAACATATTCTTAACTTTATAATTAAGCCGATTAAGTCTGTACTGAATTAATTACAGGTAGCTCCAGTTTTGAGAAGCACTGTTATATTTCTTCAACAGCTGGGACAGAACAAAAAGCTCCTAAAAACTGAATGAAGCCCATCTGGAGACAGCTCACTCACTCAGAAGACAAAAGGCCTCTTCGGTTTGTTTACAGCTCAAGACACAGTGAGTAAATACTGAAATCCACTGAGCACCAGACAACTCTGACTCATCATATCCTCCGCTGGGGTTTAAATTACAGGGTATTTTTTCAACCTTCTCCTTACTGACTGCAGATTTAATTTTGGGGCATTTTTACCTCATCTTAAAATGTTATTTCCTCATCAAAAATGGTCCGGATAACTTTTCTGGTGGAGGGTACAGACCTTTCTTGTCTTCATTAAGATTTCATGGCTTTCCTTAGAATATCAAATAGTATGGTAGTACTCTAGCATTTATTTAAAGGGCCCATATTGCACTATTTCTGTATTTCTGACCTGTTATAATATTGTTTCCTCATCAAAAACATACCTGGAGTTGTGTTTTGTTTCATTCACACATGTTTAACTTGGAGATGTAGACAGACTGATAATAAAAGATTACTTGAAAATATAAAATGAATGAATAAAAGAAACAAAACACAACTCCAGGTATGTTTTTGATGAGTTAAATACATTCTAACATGACTAAAACGGACAATTTTGCATAATTTAGGACCTTTAATGTTAGGTGCTGTCATTGCTCAGTAAAAACATGCGTTCTTTCTGTGAGTAGACTTATTTCACCACAGATCTGACCTGTAATTTGGTGAATTTTAATGCTATACTGTGGAACTCTCAAAGGAATAATCATCTGGCCAATGTTTGACCAAAGAAAACTACACAGTGCACTTTTAGAGCCCAAACATTTTACTCAAATTCATGATCATTTCAGAGCTCAAATTGCAGTCATGGGGTTTGTACACTGAGGTGTTTTAGTCGTTTTTGATATTTTTAGATGATATAACGTAATCAAAACAGGTCCAAAATCCTGCACAATGAATGGCGTTCACAAGCCAAGATTCTCATCCAAACACACAGTAAATGTTGGCCAATGAATATGCATATCTTTTCATTTAGATGTGTGTCTTTCTGTTTTTGGTTTTCTCAATCACTGCTCCACTATACAATTCTGGCGAGTGAACCAGAAGGTAGATTATAGACAGAAAATGCAACAAATGTATTATGGTCTCAAATTAAAATCTTGCTAATTGGCTTGTTGACACTTTAATTGTTTTGTCAAAATAGTATTAAAAACTGAAACTGAGAGGGGCTTTTACCTGAGGGCTTCGGGTCACTGCGATGATGGGACAGCGAGGGCGGTAACGTGACAACAGATGTGCCGACCTGGATTTGGAAACAAGAATATAAAAGGTAAATATAACAGCTAAATACCAACACATTAATATTCTAAATGTAATATACTGTATGTTTAATTATTCCATTGACTGTTGGCTACTTTATGGTACTTTATGGTTACCAGAGAACATAAGAGAACTAACTTTTAGGCTATTTAAGTGTAACATAAAACATATATTTTAAATTGGAAGAATCATTTAGTCTTAAGTGTAATATAAGGTTCAACATCTGTGAAATCTGTGTTTAGAATTTACCTGTCGTCCATCTACAACTTACAATATAAAGTTCAAATTTTAGCCCGAATTCAAAACTCTAGTGAGTGAGCAACAATTTATTTTTCATTAAAGATTTTTTCCCTCCTTGTAACTCAAACAACAGCTATTACAGAACTAAATTGGTGTCTTCATTTTGGTCGAGGTGTTGCCAGAAAGTTGTTAGAAAGTAATTCCAGCTTATTGATTATCTTTTAATTTACTTGTGAATGTGCAGATGTTTTTACAAAAGATCGGTGTCACAGTTGTTTTTTTTTCATAAGACTTACACTTGAGGAGACGTGAGGAAATGTGCCGGGATTTACAAATAGGGATGATTTTAATATTTTAATGCATATAAATTACAGGTTAATGACTATGCCCATTGTTCAATCTTACTATTAGATGAAATGACCCATATTACGCTATTTTTTGTTCTATGTGATAATGTTGTTTCCTCATCAAAAAGTGGAGTTGTGTTTTGTTCCAATCACAACAATACAAACCCTGCATATTTATCTTCTCGCACTAGGATCATTTGGATAATTTCAGCCCTGGAATAACCTGTCTCTACTAAACAAAAGGTAAAAGGAGCTGTTAACTTGAAAACTACCGCTACATGACATCACAAGGTGGAGCAGAACATTTTTAACTTTGGAGATGTAGACAGACTAATAATAAAGGGTTACTTAAACATCTGTAAATGAAATAATTCCAGGTATTTCTTGATGAGGTTACAATATTCTGCCTGAATGCTGAATGAAACAAAACATAACTCGATGTTCTTGACGAGGTAATAACATTCTAACATGACTCAAAGCTCTCAAGAGGCAATTTTCTGTAATATGGGACCTTTAAATACACACTATTAAAATGTGTACGCTTCAAACTGTAAAACGTAATTGCGTAGTGTGCACAGTTTAATGAAGCTGTGCATCTTTCAGTGCTCCCTGCGCAGACATAAGTGCTCAAGGTGCTGCTTAAAGTTACTCATTACTTAAGCCGTGGTTTCCTCTGGTTTATCCATTACGAGAAATGATCTGTCTCCATGGCGTAACCTGAGAGGCCGTGATGGGCCCGTAAGTGTCAACTATAAAACACCTATAATTGAGGAAAACAAGGATTAGATAATGCCACAGTGAGCAACATTTCAGGTAAAGCAAAGGATCTCAACAGTCCAAAAAGAGCATTTAAAGGGCAATTTTTTTCAGATTTTTTTGGGCAAAATTTTGTATTAATAACATAGCAGTTTCAATAACCAATTTTGAATAAAAAATTTGAAAATTAGAGGTCTTGTGTTCATTAGTCACTTCGGAGCTGATTACCCCTGAGCAAGCTTTCAAACGTTTCACATTACATTTTTTTGTAAACTCTACGAGAAAAATGAATGGGAAATTTACTTCCAGAAGCAGGGCGTGGGTGGTCACTGTCCATGGAGACCATAAAAGTTACATGGTGCACCTTTAGTGTAAGGTTAATGTATAGAAACACTAACATTGGATGTAATTCACAAGTAATCCCTTTATTGATTATGTGTGCTCTTGTTCTAATATGCACACCTTGAAATTAAGAGAACAGATTGTCTTTATCGATTTTTATAGTAATATACAGTTCTTTTTAGCCAGCACTTTGCTCAGATAGATGCTACGCTAAATTGGATCACAAATGTAGCAGTGTTTGCAGTGCTCAGTGGAGTCTTTATAGCACACACCAGGGGTTTCATAGTGAGCTGTTCAAACTAAAAACAACAAAACATCACAGTCCCAGGAGGAGGCAGAGGAGCTATGGCGCTAATATCCAATCTGCAGCTTTGTCCTGGCCCAAATACTAACATCTGTTGCTCTATTAAATACAACATGTCTGCTCGAGGGAGGAGAGGGAACTAGCAAATGAAAATCATCCTGGAGAATTTGGGTTGAAATCACAATTTGTTCCCATTAACATGTTCTGAAATGCACGAGATTTTTGAATTAGTTTAGTTTTTTCTAACCTTAATCACAGTATCTGTCTAAGTGCAATCAAATACGACATTTTCAGTTTCAGTTTTTGACTGATTTTATCCTCTCAGACGGTGTACAGAAACCAATATCCTGATCCTGTGTTGATTGTACAGAATTTCCTGTCACATGGAGGTGATTGAAATATGACCCAAAATGCAAAACTGCCCCATAATAATAATTTAATCAACAAAATAGCATAGTGATGACAAACAGAAAATTCTAAAATAGTTCAAACTCAAAACAAAACAAAAATAAACTAACAGAAGGACAGGACAAAGGACAAGGGGAAACATGAAGCTAAAATACACCAATAAGGAACATTTGAAACACATTTAGGTGGGGTAAATAGTGTAAGTTGAAGCTGATAGTTTTCTAGTGAAAATGTCCACTGTTTAAATATTTATCTCTATTTCTACAATTTAATTAATTAATTTATGTAACATTACTGATGCTTGTTTCCATGAAGACGATGTTTTACCTAATCCTAGAATTTTCCATCGTGCAGCATTAAACATATATATCTCCATGGAGACAAGCAAGTAACATCACAAGGGCAAGTGGAAAAATATGATTTTAAATCAGACTTATTCTTTAAAAATCAACTTTTCAGAGCTTTTTGATTCCTCTCACTGTTTATCTTCTCAAAGTTGTATTTGAAGTGAATCTTTAATCACTTATTTTCAAGACGCCATTTTGCCGATCAGCTGTTTTCACCACCACCGGCGTACGCCCATTGTTCTGGACTTACTTCTTTTTCAAATTTTTTGTGGTTACATTTTTGTTCTAGTGTTATCATTTGCAGTTATACATGTTCCAGTTGGCATTGCATTTTTCTCCCTTTTAAACCCCACACTTCCCACCCTGAAACTCCTTATTGATGGGCATATACAGAAAACATACATACACACACATATATACACAAAAAACATATACTATAGAATACGCCCACATATACACTTCTTTCTCTAATTTTGTTTTCCTAATTAGTGATGCACGTAGGATTCAGCAGCATCATGTATTCATTTTGGTACAAATGAAAAAAATCTGCTACTTGCTAGTAGGGGTGTGCAAAAATATTGAAATATCGATATATCGTATTGTTTAAAGTCATGATACAGTATCAATATCGTGGGCTGCCAAGAGTAGTTTTTACAGTTTATATCGCCAAGAGTAGTTTTTGGTACATTTTACTGAATTATTTTGTTACAGCACTACAGTTTTGTTGCTTGTTTAGAGGATGGAAACTTGTTTATGCAACACATTTGACATTTACCCTGTTTTGATGATTAAAATCGATGTTTTTCATATTAACTTTGCACAAGAAGTGATTTAAAATAACTTTTAGTAACAGTCTTTATTTTTTATTTAACCGTATCGAATCATTTTGAAATATATCGAAATCGAAAAGTGCACTGTATTGAGATATGTATCGTGGCCTATGTATCGAGGTATGTATCGTATCAGCAATGATACCTTGCCCTACTGGCTGGTGTGATGTGCAGGTATCATCAGAGCTGCTCACAACTTCATGGCTCTTTGTTGTGACAACCTTTATGCTGACTTTGGCTCCCATTGGGCACTGTTGTTAAGCCAAAAGTTAGCTGACGTGTTTATTTTACATGAATATTGCAATTTAAAATGTCCATATTACAGCATAATGATCCACAGATGTCATAGATGAAACTACATAGCAGATACAAGCACAGTTGGTTTACTTTAAGGCATTTTAAGCAATAAAAACACCTGTAATTGAGCCAAAGCAAGACAGAAGTTTAACACCGTCTGTTCCACTCCAGGTAAAGTAATGAGCAATAAAAGAAGCAGGTGGCAGACTCCCCTCCAGGAAAACTCTTCTCACAGCACCTTCAATAAAGATTTTTCTACACTATAATTCCTCAGTTGAACACTACAGTCCAGTATGGTCTTGTGAAATCATCTGGAACCCAGCAATTGAAAATAATGGCTGTTCTGAATGTGTTTGTTTTTGTGTGTGTGCATGTTTGTGTGCGTGTACCTTCCAGTGGTGGTGAGCACAATAATGGCCCCAGCTCCGCACTTGAAGGAGGACTCGACGGCCCCGATGGCAGTGACCTCGGTGGGGTCAGACGACAGGGGGGTGAGACGTCGCAGCTCCTCAAACAGCTGCTGGTGGTAGATGGCTGCCTCCGCCTCCCTGCAGATCTGAGAGGCACCAGAGTCACACACTTTAACACACACATAAACACACACACTATACAGAAGTCTACACATGCTGACACGCATAATGAGCTAGAGAGGGAGGTCAGAACTGTTTTGTTTTGTTTTGTTTTTAAGTTTCATTTTTCCCTATTTTCCCCTATTTATTACTGTTTTGACATACTGACATTCATTCGAGTAGACCAGCAATATTTAATACCAATGAGGCAGTTAGAATTAATATTGATCTTTGTTGTAATATAGTGAGTTCCACAGTCTTGTCACTTTTTTAATTCACCTTTTAGATATTTTCCATGAATGTACAATCTTTTCAATAGGGAAAACTGTCTCTATTTGTATTTCCAGGTTGAGTGTGTGTGGGGCAAGAGGCCAATATCAGTAAAAAAATTATAATAATAAAGTAGGGCTTCAAAATAAACTTGCACTTGATTTAATTTTTTTTAAGAAGCCTGCAAATGGACCAGTCTTGTCGCATTGAGCTGGAATAGTGGCTGAAACATACATATACCCTATTTTTGGGCTATAAGGCACACCGGATTATAGCAATATCAATAATGTTGAATTCTCTCGTCTATTTTCATACATAAGGCACACTGGATTATAAGGCGCATTAAGTGAAACAAACGGACCGCACTTGAGACTGATTTCTTAGCCCAAGCAACTACGATCCATTGGCAGATCGTGGCATAATTCGCCCGGCGTTGCCTCTCTGTATTGGTGAATGTGTATTATGAATGTGAATGTGGGTGGGTCATTTAAGTTTGTTTTTTTATTTCCTACGAGGAGGACTGAAATATACATTGAGTAATGTGTTTAATGCAGCTTTGCAAACATTTGTTTATGTTTTACAGAAACAAAATTTAAAACTACATGGATAATTTGCATAAACTCTAAGTGTTGAAAAAACAACTCGCTCCTTGTACACTGATGCAATTCAGCTTCTGTCAGACTAAAGGACACAACTCAGTGGAATATGTGTGTTCTTTCTGTGACAAGGCAGTGTGCAAGTCAATGCAGAATTATATTTCACCCTTTACTCCGCAAGGGTCCTGACTACAGTAGCCGTAATGCACCGACAATCCATCAAGCAGTGCGGCCTTGTAGCTTATCAAAGTCGTATTAAACATTTTGACAGATTTTTAAGAGGTGTGTACCACATAAAATGGGTTCGAGGTCAGTAAGCACAACCAGAATTAATACATAAGGTGCACCGGATTATAAGGCCCGCTTGAGAAAATTAAAGGACTTTAAGTGCGCCTTATAGTCCAAAAAATATGGTAACTCTGGAGTTAGCGGAGGTTATTCTAGCATCTATATCCACACAAATTTAGTTAGTAGTCAAGCCTGATAAACTGTGATTACACTTTTAATATTTTCCAGTTTGAAAATTAAATGCAATAAATCAAATCAAATTAAATTAAATCAAACATACCGAGTGCATCATGGCCACCGCCTCCACTGGGAAGTGTCCTTTGGCCGTTTCCCCAGACAACATGACACAGTCGGCTCCATCCAGCACCGCGTTGGCTACATCACTGCCCTCGGCTCGGGTGGGCCGTGGGTGGGCCACCATACTCTCCAACATCTAACGCCACACACACACACAGACATACGCATGCACACACACAAATGAGTGATTCTGTTTACATTGGGAAAGCCCAATAAGAGCACTGGTCTTTCGGTTTCTTTTCTTGCAAAACTAGAACATTTGAAATAAACATATGTCTTCATTTAAGTAGATGCATTTTAATATTCATGTTAACAAGCTGATAGAGACCTCCAGCAGAATCATTTTAACCCCCAAATTAAAGATGTACTATGTGTAACTTTTCTGGAGGACACAACCTGCTTGTCTCCAATGAGATCATTTTGATTTACCTAGAATGTTCCGCAGTATTAGCCTGATTCATCTGCTGGTTCACTTTGTGGAAAATATCTGACCTCGCAACATTAGGATTCGTTCGCTCGATGGTAGGCGGGTACTTTTTTATTTAACCAATCGGCGCTATTTGGCGTAGACATATGTAAAATTCACCAAACATTCTCTTTGTTCTGGGAATTGTTGCCAACACAGAAAAAGGGACCCAGACAGGTGCTTGAGTTTGATGTCATGGCTTCACAGCTCTTTGCTGATTGGCCGATGCGCGGTGTACAACTTTCGGGGTTCTAGAGTCCTGACCTAGTCGCTGGAGAAAAATGAAACTGAGTGGAGGAAATAGGTAGCACCAGCCTGGATACCACAGTATGGCATTAAACTTAAACTATTTAGCATTTATTCAGTTACAGTACCTGTATTTTTATAGCACAAAAATCCCTTTCAATTCACACATTCTTACCGTGGGCAGATTCACTGGACTCACGAATCTGACCTGTACCTAAACCTGGCAGCGATACATGCTAGTCTCCAAGGGGAAAAGTACTGTAAGTTTAATGCCATGCTGTAGAAAGAATATTTCAAGCAAAGTAAGAAAATCTGTGGTGTATTGGATCTTTATTAATGTTTTTTTTACCAAGTGTGGATGGTACAATGTTACAATATTAATTTGTCAATTTTTTAAGTTCCTGTTATAAGATGTAAAAAGTTCTGTTGTGAGTTCTGCTGATAGTCTCTCAAATTTCTTACAAACACATATAACAAATACACTAGTCATATAGCACTATGGCATTGTTTACAAAAGTCAATACTGAAAGTCAATACTGTAAGCAATGGAGGATAAAGTGCTTTCTATTGTGGTTTCATTCTTCAGACAAAGTGTTGTGGTGAGTGACATTTAGGAGTAATGGGCCGCACTGAGACAGTCTCAGACACGTCTGAAATGTGAAATGGATGAGAGACAATAAACATGAGGATGTTTTGAAGACAATACAAATTAGACAGTTATATGGGTTCTGTGGGTTTCCTTTTATGAGCCCAAATGACAAAATGACTCAGTATATTTTAGATTACATGATTTAAGAGGCTGCTTTCACACTTGGTTTGGTCCTGGTTTGAGCCCAGTGTAGTCCTGATGTAGACTTAGTTTGGTCCTGGTTTAGACTTGGTCTAGTCCAGGTTTAGTTCTGGGTTGAGTTCACACTTGTCATGGTCTGGTCCTGGTTTGATCCTGGTTTAGTCCTCCCCCTTCAATCATATTTTGCATATTTAGTTGAGCATATTTAAATTTTTTTCTATATTCGTCTAAGTTTGGTCCTGGTTTGAACCCAGTTTAGTCTTGATATAAACCTAGTTTAGTTCCTGTTTTAGTCCTGGTTAAAGGTGCATTGTGTAACCTTTCTACTGGGTAGTTCATCACCTGCTTTGATGTTTAAAGGCATTTAAGCATATTTCACAATAAGAATGTTTGTTTTTTCAAGGTTTTGGGGCAATATAACATCTGCAGTTTAATATATGCAAGACAGTTGTTTAATGCCATACTGTGGAACATTCAAGGCAAAGCATTAACATCTCCTAACACCTCTAAGTCCTGTTTATTTATGAATTAACACAGTTTTTACCCAATTTATGGCATATTGTGTAAAATGAAATTATTGTCAATTGGAATTTGCCTGCATATGCTGTTGTTAAGGGTATGTTCACTTTTGTGCTTTTTTTATTGTTGTTGTTTTTTGTCCTTTTAGCCCAGTTTGTCAAAATGATCTAGTTCTGGTTCAGCCCTGTTCCAGTCCAGATTTAGTTCCAGTTTAGTCCCAGTTTAGTCACATTTTTGACGTGGTTATTATGTAAGTGTGAACACAGCCTTAGTCAGTCCAGTGCTTGTTTTTCCTCTGACCTGCGTAGCACATATGACGGGTTTTCCGGCCGAATTGCAGCGTCCAATCATCATCTTCTGAGCGATGAAGACCTTCTCCGCCGGAATCTCAATCCCCAAGTCTCCCCTAGCAACCATTACCCCGTCACTCTCCTTCAGGATCTCCTCAAAACTGACACAGATCAGAGGGATCAGGAAAACCAAGCTCCGGAAAATACATAGCAAAGGTGTGACAGCTGCGCACTGAACTACACCGCAATACATGAGAAATCTAAATGGTTAAATTGATTAAATCACAGTTAAAGCAATCATTTTGATATGTATAAATAAACAAATAAATAAATAATTAAAATAAATAAATGGGATTATAACTACACTAAATTTGCGTCTATGACTTCTTTTTTTTTTCAATGTATTTCAGTGTGATTTCAATATTGATCTTGTTTTTTTTTTAGTAATTACCTGCCTCCCACTGAAGTAAACAACAACTATACTAAAGAAGTAAACATGATTAGTCAGTAATTCTCTCTTGGCTGATAAAGTAATTAGGTTTCACGGTGTTTGAATTTTTGGCCAGTACAAATATGTAAAAAAGAAACGCTTCTAGGCAAAAAAACAACAACAAAAAAACAGATGCAGCTTTAAAATAGAAATGACAGTCATGTTAGTTGATTTAGGTCAGTGCGAAATACAGATTAATTCAAGTCATTTTAATTAATACTGATACTTTGCAGTGGCATCATGCTGGGGGTGATCTACATGTATCTCTATTGGTGCAATATTTAGGAGTTACAATGGTGACACAATGTGGACATTAGCAAATACTAGGGATGTAACAATAAACAAAATATTGTGATATTGTATCGCCAAAGTTCTCACAATAATATCAATCATCACAATATATCGAATTACAAGTCTCTTTGCTTAAATAAAAAGTTAAGGTGCAGTAATAGACAGAGGGAACTACATAGACCATGATCCTTTGCTCCATTTCAGTGTTGATTACATGAAGAAATAACGGTTCTAAGCACTTTGAAGTTTTCTTTCTTTGGATTAAAAGTAGCATATCAACAGTTTTGTTAACAGCCTCCACAAAATATCGCAATAAATATCGTACCATGAGATATATATTGAGAAAATCTTGTACAGACAGATTTGGATATTGTTACATCCCTAATCGTGAGCCTCCCCTCCATATCGTGACCTTTCCCATGATATCGCAATAAATATCGTACCGAGAAGTTCATACCGTGACAATATCGTATCATGAGACTGATGATGACTGATCATGAGAAAAACTCAAGAAAAATACACAATGGATTTAAACAACACATTTTAGGAGTCTGTGATCAATGTGAGCGTTTGTGGTTCAGTTTAGGAGTTTGAATTTCAATGAAAAGGAGAGAGTGACAAATGATGATGATGAAATAACACAAATGAGCTCATCTGTTGTAGGTCCAAATAGGTCAGTTCTTTTTGGTCATTAAAATAAAGCACAGACTTAAGTTTAATAAAGCCTCAGGCAGAGCAGTGCCTACAGTTAGCATCACACCCCCAGGGAATGTTGACGATCTCAGCTGCAATGCATCAACAGACACTTTCTAGAATGATGAATTATTGTGTTTACTCAAATTCTGCTAAATACAATTACTAAACTGTACAAATGTTCAGTATAACAGACTCGGCAGTCTCCTGGACTCCGGCGGTGCAGCAGAGCATAAATAATGTCTCTTCAGTGCCAGATAATCATGTAAAATGCAATATTCATGAAGCCATTTAAAATCCCATTTCAATTAGGCCACCGTTAAAAGTGTCCAGGAAATCTGTACAAATGGTGTCAGGTAGTTATAGTCAAAGCCATAATTCATTGCGTTTCAGAGATGGAAAGATTTTAGTTGTGTTAAAGGGCCACTATTTTGTGATCTTTACTATAATGTTGTTTCCTCTACAAAAACATACCTCTAGTTATCTTTTGTCTCATTCACACAAAACCTGAGTTCTTCTCTCAAATCAAAATGGAAACCACTCTATTTCACCTTGTGTACTCAAACATGTGAATGAAACAAAACATAACTCTGGGTATGTTTTTGAGGAGGTAACCACATTATAACATGACATAAAGCTCACAAGAATCCATTTTGCGTAATATACAACCTTTAATATTACTTAAAAGTACGCTGTTTCTAGAGAGAGGGCACTTACTGCTTTGCCTGGAACATTCCATATTATGGCAATAAAACTTTTTTTTTATTTTTTATTTTTATGTATGCATTTATTTTGGGCAAGTAAAGATTTACATTTATATACAATGGAACATATAACATAAGTGAAATCATAAAAGAAATAAAAATAACAACAAAAAATTTACTATTATTATTATTATTTTGCCCAAAAGGGAGTGGGAAGAAGAAAACTTATTTAATCCCACCCCTACTCTTCATAATCTAACGCAATGAGCTTCTTTTGCATTTTTCAGACATTTTGAATTAAACTATATAAACTATTTACAAGTGCAGACAAAGAGTCACTGTTATAGCTTGGTAGTATAACATAAGTGCACCAACAATGGTAAAGTTAAGGATACAGACAATGGTAAGAAACAACAAATACAAGTAATGCAACGGACAGCACATACCAGCAATGGTAAGAAAACAACAAATATAAACCAGCGCTACAGAGGCAGTATTGTTCTAATATTATGACCCAAACCTATTTACACAAAATAAAACACACTCTTGCTTTAGTAGTAGTAGTTTCCCAAAATATTTTTTCACTGTTACTTGAGTAATTTATTGAATGATTACTGCATTTCTACTTGAGTAATGTGAAGTAATAATCTAAAGTAACGATACTCTTACTTGAGTACAATTCATTCCTACACTACTCACCTTGGGGTAAATGAGCATGTTGGCATATTACTATAATTTTTGCCCACTCTACCCTCCTGTGCTGAGTGTCCCCAGACTGCACATTACTGCGGTTTAAACTGTGAGGTGACAGGTGCCAATCTGCTGCTGCGTGTCGACAGGAGCAGTGTCGACAGGGGCAGTGTCGCCAGAAGCACAGACCAATATAAAACTGTTAGATGCTCATTATCACATTGCATTCTCTCAGCCCCCAGAATAAGTCTTCTCACGAGAGCCGGTGGGAAACACAGGCTACATCATGATTCAATGCAAAACGCTCATGGATAATGCGTTTGTTAAGAGTGGATGGTTAATTAATACTGTCATACTGTATGATAATAAAGATATTGCATTTAATAACATACATACATTTATTCTGTTGCAGACTTTCCGTTGTGTTTTCTGTTCACAGTAATTTGTTGTGTACGGTATGTTCCGCTGCACTTTGACAGTATTTGATTCACTTTTCCACCCATTTATTCACGTTATTATTATTATGATTATTATTATTTGGTTTTGGTGCAGTTAATTTGTTTTGCTTTTCATTTGGTAGTCGTGAACCCTGAGGGCCACTGTACAAGATACAATGTACTAACTGAATAATGTTTGTGCGATATTCTTATCATTATTATGAGCGCCTATTTATAGGTGCATTGTGTTATGGTTTTGCACAGAATGTTCCACAGTGTGCCATACCCTCTCCAGTGTTTTAATTTTTAGTAATTTTTTGTGAAGATGACTTTTTGTAAAGTGTATATATGAAAATAATCAATCAACAAATGTATTCCTCTGAAACAATAACCCATGTAGTATCATTAAAGGTTCAATATTACACTAAAATAATTTTTGTGAGCTTTAAGCCAAGTTAGAATGCTGATACCTCATCAAAAACACACCAAGAGTTGTTGGCAATTGCTGAAATCATCCAAATGACTCTAGCGGAGGTATATAGAGTTTAAAAACACAGTGGAGAACTTCCTGTATTACCACATGACATCACAAAGGGGAACAGAGTGTTTTATATCTGAGAGAAGAACTCAGCCTAAATACGCAGGGTTTGCAAGTCAAACATGTATGAATGAAACAAAACAAAACTCCAGGTATGTTTTTGATGAGAAAACATTATAACAGATCAGAAAAAAGTGTATTATATGTAGGACCTTCAAAAATAAATAGCACAATTAAGTCAGTGTGTCATAGATGTTATTACGATATACATGAAGAAATTATTATTTTTTTACTTGAATACATGCATCATGAATTTCGGACTTCCGGTCATTGTGCAATGCATAATAGGACATATACTGACAAAGCCAGTCCTTTCTAGTCTTTGAACCATATCACTTTTGTTTCTGGTTCTGATATTGTCATATTTTAGTTATGGGATTCGGACATTGTAATTGTGTGGTTGTTGGATGTCCTAACACCAGAAAACGGTTTCGAGAAATGGGCTTTGGAAAGTTTGCAAACTCCATAAATGCCAAAGGGAATCAGATCCGTGTGACTGCAAACCTCCGTTCAAACTATTTTCCTTCCCAACGGAATCGAAAAATAGTGAAAGGCGAAAGCGATGGGAAGTATTGATACACAGAAAGGATGAAAAAGGAAACCTTTGGCTGCCTACGAAATCATCCTGAGTTTGCAGTTAGGACATCCAACAACCACACAATTACCATGTCTCATCCCAAAACTAAAATAAGACAATATCAGAACCAGAAACAAAAGCGATATGGTTCAAAAGACTTGAAAAGACTGGCTTTGTCAATAGATGTATCCCACTGGGAAAACAAACATGGCAGTTTGATGCTTACTTTTTCAGAAAATCCTTCCTATTATGCATTGCACAATGACCGGAAGTCTGAAATTCATGATGCATGTATTCAGGTAAAAAAAAACATATTTCTTCATGTTGTCTGTGCTGAAATGAATCATGGGATATGTAGTGTACTATAAACCACTGCATTCAAGCAAAGGTACTTGCAATTCGATATATTGTGACAGCTCACTATATTATTGTGAGACTTTCGATGGTGCGATATCACGATATTTCGGTTATTGTTACATTCCTAATATTTATTAATACAGCCTCAAATGTTTAAAAAAGAGCATGTTTCCAGTTAGTGCAAAGAAAAGGTACATGTGCTAAATACCAAAAATATTTCTCCAGGGTTCATATATCGAATGAAAAGTTGCTATAGAAATAATCGTGACAGACCTATCCTCTCAATGTTTTTTTTATCTGGACTTACTTCTGGACTCCTTGGCGGCTCTCCACTTTACTGATAACTTTGATGCCCTGCCCATAAGGACCCAGAGCTTTGCGTACATCTCTGACGTCCTGTGCAGAGCGGATGAAGCTGGCGAATACGATATCGATGCCCTGGGAGACGCCAAAACGCAGATCTGCCTCGTCACGCTTGCTCACCGCCTTCAGCCCGATCAGGTTACACCCAGGGAGGTTCACCCCTTTACGGCTACACAGGACACCACCAGCCTCCACCACAGTGTCCACCCAGTCCTCACCTGAGACAGAAAAACCTACAGTCAGTATTACGAGTGTATATGGGCTGTTCATGGGTTTCAGCTTCCTGTTATATGCAACATTTTAAGGATTTTTCCCATTCAAAACCTGTGATATTTTATTTTAAATCATTATTTGCTATGGCAACAGTCCTTATTTTTTATTATTCTGAAAGCCACAGATAGTTCAGTATGTTTAAGCAAAATTTAAAGGCCAACAGGACGACATAATTTGGCTCTGGCTTGATCCCAGTTTGGTCCTGATGTAGACTTCGTTTGGTCCTGCTCTAGTCTTGGTTTAGTCCTAGTCTTGTCCAGGTTCAGTCCAAGTCTAGTCACAGTGTGAATGTATCCTAAAGCTGAATTTTAACCATGCAGGACTAAACTGGGATATAAACAGCAGTAAACCAGAACTAAACCAGGTCTAAACTAGGACACAAACTTATCTAAAACAGGATTAGCACAGGACATGTATAGACGGCATAAACAAGAACTAAAACAGCAAAATGTTTTATGTATCATTCATCATGTAGCCTGTATAAAAAGAAAGTGAAGTTACATTTTTCCTTGACATGGCTTTCAAGATCATCTTTTCAAATGAAACAAATGATTCTTACAGTACCATCTCTAACTAGAAAAGCAAAGCTGTGAGCGACCTTGTGTTGGATGGTCGATACAACATAAAAGAGTGAAAAAAAGAGTAAATCAAACAGCATATGGCTAAGTATCTTAAACCATTGTGTAATTATTGATCTCTAAGTGATGTGAAAATAGGCCTGTCAATCATTGATACTTTGCAGCTGATGTTATCTACAATCCCTGAGCGTGTGATGCTAACTTTCAGCACTGCTCTGTCAGAGGCTTTGTTAGACTTTAATTTGAACTTTGCTTTAACACAGTCTGACCAGAAAGAACTGACTGAACTGAGTTGGAACTACAACAGGTGAGCTGATTTGTGATGTTTAACAAGTCTCTCTCAAATAACATTACAGTCACAAACTAGCTGGCAAGAAACTTGGCTTTTAGGCCGATTTTGACTAGATTTTTGTTGCAGAATTTTGGCTCCTCTGTGCATCAGGCAGTGTGTAGGGTTTAGGGCTGCGATTACCTACTCACGGTGAATACACGACAGCTGATCGTGTGGCCACAGGGATCAGACATGTTTGATATTTGTCCTGGCTGCAGGTCCGAGCGCTGCTGAAGCTGGGTTTTATGGGTGAGAACAGCGAGTATGGAGGTGACGTGGGCCGTAATGCGTCTCTGACACGTATTCTGAACAAATCACCACACACGAGCGCCAGAAAAGAGTTGTGAACAAAGCCTCAAACTATTAACAAAGCAGTGCTAAAGTTAACACTGCCAACGGTTTGCTTACTTACTTCTATGATGTTTTGGGAGTTTAAACGTGCGTGTATGAAAAGACAACGGCGTCATAAACATGTCCACAGCCTTTCACACAGGTACCATAGACCGTGTATATGTATGTATTTGTTTTACAGTATATGACACAAACCTCCTCTGGCCCATGTCCCTTGTATAGTGTGAGGTGTAAGTCTAGACTGGATTTAGTGATATGAGCTGTTTGTTTCTCCAATGTAAGAGGCTTGCTCAAGAGCCAGCTATGGCCATTTGAGATGCTACAGACTTTTTACACAATATGTGGCAGCAAATGTGGCAGAAGATCTTCCAGAAGAAACACTTTGAAGGAACGAACCATTTTGTCACCAACCGAAAAACACCAGAGTGGAGTAAGAATGAGACTTTTCCTGTTGTGTTCACCTGGTTCCCTCCTGGACTCTGCTTTGATGCTGAAGGAGCCACAGGATCTGCTGACTCGACCCGACCCTGTGTCCCTCCTGTTAAACTGCACTGAGAACTTTGACTGAGACACAAAAGTGTAAATGCTGCAGCAGCAGCAAAACTTGCATTTCCCTTGGGATCAATAAAGTATCTTGAGTATCTTCAGTTTACCTTAAAACTTTTTTGTCAGTGTTTGCTAATGTGTGCAATGTGTCTCCATGGTAACTGCTGAACATTCCGCCAATACACATACAGTACATGTTGAACATCCCCAGTGTGATGTCACTGCAAAGTATTAATATAAGACAAACCTACAAATGAACAGTGCAAAAAGAGTAAACCAAACAGCATATGGCTAATTATCTTAAACCTTTGTCTAATCATGTTACTGCTTTGTCTAGAAGTTTTAAACATTCATGAAACCTGTCAAGAGAGATACAAGTTGGTTACAGCACTACGCTACATTACAATTCAGATCTATGGAGAGTCAGGCCTATTCACAGGAATAATAATGCATTTTTGAGCAATAGAAACACCCGTGATGAATAAATGAGCGATGGATATGTTTAATGCTATACTATGGTACATTCCAGGACAAAATTTAAAATTTATGTGAAGTAGGCATCAGATCCTTTATCAGAAAAGATGCACAGTGTACCTTTAAAGTCCTGTCACTCACTGGTGTTGTGGTTTTACCTATTTCCACCACTTTGAGCCCGATCAGTCCGTCATCAATATATATGATGCCTCCATTGTCCAGGACTTTGGGCAGACTGGGATAATCCACCCAGACCACAGATCCATCTGTTTTGTCTTTGTCACTCTCTGCTGTCAGCACACGAACATGATCGCCCTTTTTCAACTCCACCTCCTCCTCCACCTTCTGAAAAACACAAGAAGGAAGAGTTTAACAACAGGCTGTCAGAGAATCAGTCACAGGGAAGGAAGCCACTGCAGAAGGAATAAATATGTTTGTTGACGATGCACCATGCAACTTTTCTGATAGGGTTTCCATAGAGATTATGCCTTGCCTGGAATGTTCCACACTGTGACATTGAGCATAACCATGCTGCATTTATTCTACCACAAGTGGAGTTTTTTTTTTTTGCTAATAAAATCTATTTTCACTTGTCTGTCCATAGATCAGATTTGCAACTTATGGTGGCACCACTTTTTTGTCTCCATGGAGATAAGTTTAAAGAGACAGTTTGGAATTTTGGATATAAGACCCCATTTCCTAGTGAGCCAGTGTTGGAGAAGTGTGGAGACACATTTTTAAATATCACATCCAGTGCTTGTATTTGCAGAGGTCGTTGGTGCTAGGCTAGTGCATGTCAACGGCCATAGTTATCCTGCCACTAAAAACAGTTGTTCTGTTAAGCATGAAGTATTGTTTAAAAAATGTTTGAATGTATAATTCTCCTGTTTTTGTGTTTCTTGGATTTCGCTTGTGTATGGTGCCATCTGGTGGACACCTTTAGAACTGCACTCAGAGCACGTGTTTGATCAAAACTTTATTGAACGCAAGTAACAGATGCTAGCCTTATAATGTGGTGGTTGCACGCAGCCCTCGAGATGGCGTGTGGATTTGCAACCTTGTACTTGCTGTTGTTTGCCTTGTGTTTTTGTGACTGTTGTAAACGTGTTGTAATGTTGTATTTTTTCTGCTCTGCAGTTTCACCTTCTTAAGTATCATTAAACCTGCTTAAAGACAATCACGTCTGTAGAGTTGTTGATGTGAGAGAAGTGTTATCGCCATAGTTACCGTCTTACCCACATTACGCCAGGCTGTCGATGTGAATGTTTGTGTCGATAGAATCATTTTAGAAGTAAAACCAACCTTGCATTTGAAGGATTTATGTCTGTGCAGCAGCAGCGAGTTGTACTTCCTAATAGAAAGCTTGGAAACGGCGGACTGATATATGAGAAAATAGTCCCTCAACGTGTAACGATTCATGTGATACAAGGTTAATATAATTTCAAACATTTATTCTATCAACACAGACATTTACACTGACAGTCTAGTGTAATAATAGATTTGCTTCGGGTGTTTTGTGGAGTGGGTAAGACTGTTTTTAGTGGCAGGATAACTATGGCCATTGACATGCACTAGCCTAGCACCAGTGACCTCTGCAAATACAAGGACTGGATGGAATATTTTAAAAAGTGTCTCCACACGTCTCCAACACTCTGGCTCACTAGGAAACGAGGTCCTATGTCCAAAATTTCGAACTGTCCCTTTAATGCCATATCATGCACATTCCAAGAAAAGCAATAACATTTCCAAGGAGACAAGCAGGTAGCTGACCCCCACCAGAAAATGTTGCACAGTGCACCTTTAAAATGGCATGACAAAACTTTAGCCTATGTGTTGTGATTGGTTTAATCTATCTATCTATCTATCTATCTATCTATCTATCTATCTAATGCCATACTGTGGAGCATTCCAGGCAAAGCAATAATGTGTCCATAGAGCTAAGGAGGTGGCTCATTGATTTGTTGACACAGGTTTCTTTGGGCACAGTGCACCTTTACCTTTGTATTTCGAAGTGTATTTTCTGTAAAAGCTTTGTTCACTGCGCACCTGAGCGAGCTGATGTGTGTAATGATTTGAGAAATGAAGCCTGTCTGAGTTTGGACTGGTGTTTTGCTCTGAGCCAATGGGGGCTCTTCCAGCTGACTGCATGTGACGTTTTGATTATTTTTGGAGAGATGAGGCTCTTGCTGTTTACCCCTTTGACCAATCCTGTGCGTATCTCAGGGCCCTTGGTGTCCAGCGCTATGGCGACCGGTCGATAGTACAGAGGGTCAGAGGTGAGCGTATCCACGGCCTCCCGGATGTTTTTGATGGTCTCTCCGTGGTACTGAGGAGGGGAGAGGGACACAGACAGAAGATCAATCCAGCGGCTACAGACACACGGGCAAGTGCCTAGAGACCAGGACTAAACAACAGGGTGTATCAAGATCTAAAGCAGTGCTAAAACAGTTCAAAACAGGACTAAAAGAGGGCATATCAGGAAAGGCAAAACCAAGACTAAATCTCATCAAATCCATGAATAAACCAAACTAGACCACAGGATCTAAATCAGGACTAAACGAGGATTAAAGTTGGATTTAATCAGTAAAAGACCATGGCCTTTGGGATGTTGTGATTTCTCTGTGATACTGAAACGAGGTAGACAGACGGAAGATCAATGCAGGGGCTAGAGACACAAGTGGTACTTTGGTCTATAAACAAGGACTAAACTAGAAATTAACAAGAGAAAGGATACGTCTAGAAACCAGGACTCAACTAGAACTAAACTAAACGAGTTCGAGTTCAATCAAGGTAAAAGAAAAGCTAAGCCAGAACTAAGCCAAGTCTAAAGCATAGAAATTCCAGGACTTAAAAACCTATAATCAAAGGGACTAGACCTCTTAAAAAGACCCAAACCAGAACTGAAACGAAACTAAAGTTGGACTTAATAAACTGGGTGTGCATGGCTTTTTGGATATTTGTGATTTCTCTGTAGTACTGAAGACAGAAGATCAATGCAGAGGCTACAGAGTCACACGAACAAGCGCTCTGTTTATGTAAACCATAATTAAATCAGGACTAAACTTGGACTTAACGAGATCCAAAACAGTGCGAAAAACAGTTGAAAATCAGGTCTAAACCAGGTAAAATCCATATAAACCAGAACGTATTAAGATATGTCACAAGACAAGACAACTACATTAGACCAAACTTGAACTTAATTGGTTTTTAGTATCATTAATAAACCTGGTGTCCATGACCTTTCAGATGTTTCTGAGGAGAGGGAGACGGACAGAAGATCAATGCAGGAGCAAGAGAGACGTTACATGAGCACACTGCACCTCATTGCCAGGTGAGCTTCAACCCGATCTCATTTTTTAAAAGAACCACATCTTTTTCCCTTTTCTAATTTGTATGCATTTTATACTGATTTGCATTAAACCAACACAAAAATAAGCAGAGAAGCAGAATAGGCAACAAGAATAAGAGCTTTGTGTACAAAAAACACAGTGCGATGTTTATTTTGATTATACTTAATTTCAGTGGGTAAACATATCACTCTCACTTTGAATCATTTTAAACAAATCTGAGTCTTTTTGATTTCTCTCTGTGATTAGTTTGTAAATCAAATAAGTTCTCACACTGGCTTTTGTTATATAAATTAGTAAAAAAGCCAGATCTGAAAATAAAAGATCCTAAAGTTCCATCACTTATATCAACCATGATTCAACGAGGAAATTACTGTGGGGCATAATATGGAACTAGGTAAAACAGTTCAAAACCAGGTCTTAATAAGAAAGTTTCTCTGTGGTAGCATAGAGAGGAGAGACAGAGAAGATCAGTGCAGGAGCTGGAGAACACACTGTAACTTTGCCAAGAGTGATTTTTATATAGACAAGAATTAAACCAAGACTCAACCAAGCCATGAGCCAAATATGAAATGAGCACGGCTTATAATGTCACATAAATAGACAGAGAACATCTCTAATGCTTTTGTCCTACACCCCAGTCTCAAACGGGTTAAGATTAGAATTACGTACATGTGCATTTAATGTGCTCTATACAGTAAAACATGACATTTGCTTCGTTTCTGTGGCCTGGTTGCTTGTTTTTCTCGTGAAATCTGGCAACCCTGCACTCACCTCATGTGAGCCGTGAGAGAAGTTGAGGCGAGCAATGTTCATTCCTGCTTTGATCATCTCCTGTAGTTTTGGAACCGACCGAGAGGCAGGACCTGAGGGAGAAACACAACGGGAAATGAGTCTTCTAATACTTTGTCAGTATTGTGCTGTTATGAAGGGAAGTGAGGTGAGAGTTTCACTGGGTCAAACAGTGTGTATAAGACTGTAAAGTTTTGGCTCTCTTCTAAGTAAATCTACTATTATGTTCTTTGTTAATAAGACTGTATGATGTGTTTTTGAGCTATGAGGAAACCCTCTCACCTGTTGCATGGTGAATATGAAATTCTTATTGAGCATTATCAAGTGAATATCTTTGAAGAGTAACAGATATAAACTATATAAAAAATAAAATTTGTTCCAACTTTTGTGGCCCTCTTTAATACATGCTCAACAAAGGCACATTAATACCGTATTTTTCGGACTATAAGTCGCACTTTTTTTCATGGTTTGGGTGGTCGTGTGTCTTATACTCTGGTGCGACTTAAAATGTTCACACTGACAGCCGCGAGAGGGCGCTCTAGTCTTGTGTACAAGATTCTCCTACTCCTGTACAGCTGTCACTTTGCGCCCTACTGTGCATGTCTCCTGCAGAAAAAGCCACTGTCCTGCTGCAAGTAGTACAATATGCAGTCCAAAACGGTAAACAAGCAGCAGAAAGAAAGCTTGGAGTGAGCGAGAAACTTGTGAAGGACTAGAGAAAAGCAGGAATTGAGAACAAAGCTTCACTGACAATCGAGAGGATGCGCCATGCAACTTTCTTGGAAGTCATTGGATGAATCGACAAAGCCTGGACTTCAGTGAAACCGAAACCATCCTGTTGAGATTCATAAAGGCCGGAATAATTCTAACTGGAACTGATGCTGAGTCTGGCAACAGCTACGCAGAAGAGGAAGTGGCGCTCTGTTTACCTCATGGATCTATGGTTTACCTCTGGAGGTCGCACAGAAGTGACACCAAGGATGAAGAATTCAATGGATTTAGTGATTTGTGAGTGAGATGGAGAGTTTGGTAAACTTGTGATATTGCTTATGCTATAGTCTCTGAGGAACTGTTCATATGTGACATTAACATACCAGACACCTATTCAGCCTGTTGTTCTCTGTTCTATTGTTATTACTATAACTTGCCTTTCAAGATGAAATGTCGATTCCCCCAAAAAGTGTGACTTATAATCCAAAAAATACGGTAAGTCTTTATGTCCATTGTGCTCCAGTATCTGTGAAATCCAATGTGTTGAATTTATGGTTGTTATCAATTATATTTGCACCATGGGGCTAGTGCAATAACTTGGACACTTTATGGCTGTACAGATCAAAATGGACAATGGACATTAATAATAGACACTTATTTGTCTTCTTCTCTGAGCTCTGACTGTTGTCAGACCGTAGTGTGAGAATTAAACCAAGACTTAACAGATCCATGAGCCAAAAATGAAATTAACACTGCTTATAATGTCACATAAATAGACAGAGAATAGACGATGTTACTGTGTTTTCTGGGGCAGCGAGCCCAAGACAAATTTCCCTTGGGGATCATAAAGTTGATCTTAATCTTAATCTTATGGAGCCGTTTCCTTGTGATCTAAAGTATAATACAGTGAATACCACACATTCAGCTGCAGTAATGAGTGAAAATCCCTTCGGGTATATATGTCTTTTGCTTGAGTCTGGAGTAGAGTGTTGTGGCTCGCAGCTCGGCAGGAGGCCCTCTCTCGTCCCAGACTTGTGTTGTGATGCCGCCTTCACACAAACATGAGCCCAATGATCTGAAGGCGGCTCACTTCAGATTTCCATATTTCACTTGTGTCCTTCATTCTCCTTGTCTCCACCCTTCTACTGGTTTTATGAATGTGTGACTGAGTGGTCCCTCTGTGATTACCACCCGAACTTTGTAGTATGTAAGTATGTAAAGTAGTCTAAATAACTTGAATTATGAATATTTTCGAGGGGTTTGAGGAGCACTTGAAATTATTTTTAGTCTTATTTTTAAGTTCAGTTGAAGTAAGAAAATATATTCCTTTGGCTGCTAATTTTTTTGTGAAATGTATTCAAATTGCGATTAAATATTCTTAATTTAAAGTTGCACAGTGTAACTTTTCTGGTGGAAAGGCCTGTCAGGTGTAACCATGGAGTTGTTATTGTTTTGTCTGGAATATTCCACAGTATGGCTATAACTTAAGTTACATCATGTACCTTCAGTGTATTCTGTAAATATATTTTTTTACTGTGTTATTGATGAAGCGTCTCACCGATTGTGCAGATGATGTTGGTGTTGCGTGCTGTGATTGGCTCCTGGTCGATGTCCAGCAGACACAGGTGCTCCAGGAAGGTGTCGGCCATACTGGCGTCCAGCTGCTGTCTCTGGATGAACGAGTCCGGCAGGGACATCACATCTGAGTAACGTCGAATACGAGCTGAGAGGAACAGGGAAACATATTTCACCTTTAGACTGGAGGATATTGTTCAAAATGTTATTGCTCAGATCCAATAATAATATTCAATCTATTAGAAGAAGAACAAAAGAACAGAACAGAAAAACAAAAGAAAGAAAGAAAAAAAAAGGCCTTGAAGGTGTTCTAGCTGATTAACTGGTCTTAAAATATGAAAAACCAAACTTCTCTCTTTAAATGAGGTCAGCCCTATGTTCCCACAGCTCTAAGTTCCCACAGCTCTATGTTCCCACAGCCTTATGTTCCCACAACCCTATGTTCCCACAGCTCTGTGTTCCCACAACTCTACATTCCCACAGCCCTATGTTCCCACAGCCCTACGTTCCCACAGCTCTATGTTCCCACAGCCCTATGTTCCCACAGCTCTATGTTCCCACAGCTCTATGTTCCCACAGCCCTATGTTCCCACAGCTCTACATTCCCACAGCTCTACGTTCCCACAGCCTTATGTTCCCACAACCCTATGTTCCCACAGCTCTGTGTTCCCACAGCTCTACATTCCCACAGCCTACGTTCCCACAGCCCTATGTTCCCACAGCCCTATGTTCCCATAGCTCTATGTTCCCTCATTTCTAAGATTTTTCTTATTTTTAAGATTCTAAGATTTTCTCAAAATGAAACTCTAAGTCAAGTCATTTTTATTTTATGCCTCATTTAAGGGGATTCAGAGTCATTTCAACCTAGGATCCTTTGCACCATGACCTCTACATTAGATCTGTATTCAACTGCTGCTGGACAATAGGTTCAGTGTAACTACCAAATTGTGAGAAACTGGGATAAAATCTGATGCAAATGATGATAAAGGAAACGTGGGAACATACAGCCTAATAAAAAAAAAAAAAAAACTAAAAACCTAAACTTAGTTATTAGGGAACAAAAGGCTGAGGGAACATAAGCACGTTCCCTTTTAAACAGTTTGCAGTCATGCACAGTTATTCTTCACATTCCAAGTGCTCTCCTAGTTGCTAATTATTCATCAAGATAAGTTAATGAGTAAGTTTAACAATTTTCAGAGACCAGAACAGAGTTTCGCTGTCAGTAATGCTAACAACTATCATACTAACGGCACGCCAGCGTTACTTTCTAGGTTGCAAATGATAAAATGATTTGCAGACAGCACACAACAGTTTAATTTTGATTCTAAGAAATCTACTGGCGTAAGATTTAATACAAATACAAGATGGATTTAAACAACTCGCGGTCAGGAATCTGTGATCAATACGAACGTTCATGGAGCTAATTAGATGTTTGATTTTCAGCTAAAATGTGAAAAACTGTAATATTATTTAAAAAGGACTTGTTGAACTGTAAAAATCAGCTCACCTGTTGTTCTTTATGTGCTCAGATTAAAGTCTAACAAAGCCTCAGACAGAACAGAGCCTACGTTTAGCATCACACCCCAGGAAATATTAAGGATATCAGCTGCAAAGTATAAATCTTCTGAACAACAGCCCTGACATTGTGTGAGCAGTAAACACGCACATTTCCTTCAGACCTGTTGTCGCATCAAAGCCGATCCGCTCAGACTGACGGAGGTGTGCAGTGTTAATTATAAGAGTCACACTTGAGTCGAGGGGACGCAAAATGAGAAACGGGGTAAAAATAGCATCAGCAGAGGCTCTGATTTAAAACATCCTGAAGGAGCAGACATCAGGATCACGTCTGGCACATGCTCACAATACTGTCACATCATCATCTCTTTGTGTGATTGTTAAATAAGGCTTAATATAAATGACTACTCTAAGGAGACTGTGTAATCCCTCAGTCGTCCAGGTCGTTTCATTGCAAAATAAGATTAAATTATGTCAAAATGTGATAAAGTGAATATGCTTTTGTATTTGTTTTGTATTTTCACACGTGCCAAAACAAAAATATCACACATGAAACCACAATTAACCATGAGAACTACTTGCCTTATCTGCACACCTCAACCTAAACCTAAACTAAATTTACCCTAATTTACCTTAAAGATGCATCCCTAGTTTAAAGTGCAAGATTCAGCGAAATGCTTTCATAACTTCGATCATATTACAGAAACGAGCTTTGCGAATCATTCATAAAGTTGTTTTTTTTGAGCACACCCACAATCTTTTTATTCAATCCAAGCTCCTCAAAATTCCTGAACTTGTACAATATTATACACTGGTCATTTTATTCAGAGCATGCAATAATTTACTACCACGTAATATTCAAAGCTTATTCAAAATAAGAGAGAGAACTTATAATTTTAGAGGGTATGGAAATTTCAAATTGCCTAATGTACGAACTACTCGTAAAAGTTTCTGTGTGTCTGTATGTGGTGTAAAACTCTGGAACAGACTGGATACACATCTCAAGCAATGCCAAAATATCCATAAATTGAAGTTGTTATATAAACATATGGTTTGGTCACAGTATATGGAGAGTGGGTCATAATATTAGAACAATACTGCCTCTGTAGCGCTGGTTTATGTTTGTTGTTTTCTTACCATTGCTGGTATGTGCTGTCCGTTACATTACTTGTATTTGTTGTTTCTTAACATTGTCTGTTTCCTTAACTTTACCATTGTTGGTGCACTTATGTTATACTACCAAACTATAACAGTGACTCTTGTCTGCACTTGTAAATAGTTCATATAGTTTAATTCAAAATGTCTGAAAAACGCAAAATAATATCATTGTGTTAGATTATGAAGAGTAGGGCTGGGATTAAATAAATTTTCTTCTTCCCACTCCTTTTTGGGCAAAATATTAATAATAATAGTTATTAGTAGTTGTTGCTCTTTTCATTTCTATTATGATTTCACTTATGTCATATGTTCCATTGTATATAAATGTAAATCTTTACTTGCCCAAAATAAATGCATAAAATAATAATAATAATAATAATTTCGTGGTTTATAAAGTTTCAAAAAACATAGGCATTGTGGTCTTTAGTTGCCACATACCTGATTCGCCCTGAGCAAACTTTCAAACTTTAATATACATTTTTTTATGGAAAGTCTGTGGGAAGGACTAATGGAAAGTGTACTTCCAGAACCAGGGGGTTGGGGGTTTTAAATAAGTTTAAGGATGCTGTTGAAGTAGCATTTCTTTGCATTTTTAATCATTTTTCCCACCTAAAATCTGCTATCAAAGTCCTTACATACTTACCAATATGCTTTGGTGAAACAGTAATCTAGTTTTTGTTTTTTGTTTTTTGCTTTGGGACAAGCCTGTCTGCCTGTACACCCCTCTTCCCTTTTCAAAGCCGGGAATTCTGAAATATTTATGTGCAAAATTCCGAAGTCTCAAAGTGACGCCGGTGTACGCACAGTTAATACTAATACTACAGGACGACAAGGACAACTGCACAAACCGACACAAGCTCGCAATAAGACAAAGAAGAGGAGGAGAAGGACTCAGAGTGTGGACCTTGGACATCTTTATTTGTTCAGTGTTTAACATCTCTCAATTGTTTGGAAAATAAAATGATCTGATTCTCCAAAAATAAAAAGATGCACCATGTTACTTTTTGGGTAGAGGTCCATCACCTGCTTGTTTTTATGGATATGTCATTCTTCTGTTTGGAATGTTTCACAGTATGACATTAAACAGCTCTACTTTTCATTTATTCAATTACAGATGGTCTTGCTGCTGAAAAATACCTAAGCTCTATACTCTGACTCTGAGTGGGATTGCCTCTTTACAGATCCGACCTGTAACTTGGTCTAGTTTGGTCTCCATTAAGATAGAAAGATGTAATACCGTACTGTGAAACATTTCAGACAAACCAATAACATGTCCATGGAGAAAAGCCATTGTGTAACCCTCCATCAGAAGAGTTACACAATGCACCTTGAAGCGTGTCCTCCCTGATCAGAAAGTTACTGCTGCTTCTATCTTCGAGCCAACAAGTACATATACTGTTTTAGCAGAGGTGAGGACTTGCAAGTCGTGACTTGGACTCGAGTCAGACTTGAGTCACTATTTTATTTTTTAAAGACTTGACTTGATAAAATAGACTAAGACTTGGGACTCGACTTGGACTTGAAGCTCAAGTGACTTGGGACTTAACTCGGACTTGAGGCCTGTGATATGAGAAGACTTGATGCTTTTCCTAAAAAATATGTTTTTATTAAATACTTTTCTGTTTACAGCTGATAAATGTGATGCTGAATTTTACAGGAAAAAACTGGAAGATTTCCCTCCCATTTATCTGTTTGTTACTTTGGATGTAACTGAAGTACTGTGATGTGGTATCCTCAAATGTACTACAGTAAAATGCAGTACAATACAGTAAAACAGAGGGAACTACATAGAACATGATTCTTCCATTTCAATGCAGACTACACAACAAAATAAATGCATTTTAATCTTAATTCTTTCTGTTTTGACTATAAAGATTTGCACTAAGATCTTGTCAAGACATTTAAAAAGGAAAAAGCAGCATTTCTACAACTCTAAACTATAAATACTAAACTATAAATACTAATCGAAATACAATTATAAATGCTAAAAAAAAGCTGTATTTGGTACTTTGTTTTAAAGACTTGAAATGACATGAAGCTCAAAGCAGACGACTTGGACTTGACTTGGACTTATGGGCCAGTGACTCAAGACTCGACTTGGACTTGCCTGTCTTTGACTTGGGACTTGACTTGGATTTGAGGTCAAAGACTTGAGACTTACTTGAGACTTAAATCCACGACTTGGTCCCAAGTCCTTAACTTGTCCTTAACCAAGTCAGTTTTGTCACTGTAGCCTACATACACTACAGTGGGAATGCATGTGTGTATTTTTCCTTGAGTAAGTATTTTGTAAGTCCAGTGGAGGTATGACTCTATATTCGTGTCTATAAACTCTTTTATTTTTAACTCATGTACGATTGTGCCGTGTTACTGAACTGAATGAACTGATGTGTCTGTTGAAGTCCTCTCTAATCGCTGCATCAAAACCAACTCCCTGAATCTCCCTAAAAGCCAAACAAAGCTGTACCTGGCTGA